CCTGCCCCCCCCTTCCAAGCTCTCAGATTTGGGGGAGGGGGTCCTTCGTATTCCCTCAGATGCTCTTCTTTCACCCTGGATTCCCCTTCCTCAGTTTAATTCGCCTGCTCCCTCCTCCCTCCCCCAGCCTCGGCTAGCGAAACCCAGGAGATGGGGAGGGGCTCGAGATCCGTAGCGTGCTCGTTGCCGAGGAACAGGTATTTTCCGTGTAGATGTAAAAATTCCCTGCACTTTTAGGACAAAGCTCTAGTGTTTAATTAAAAAAAAGGGGGGAGGTGGGGGGAGGAAAGTTTGAGAGGTCTGAAATCTCTGTGGGGAATGAAGTGCCTCTGGTAGGGGTAAGCAGAGGAGCGGGGAAAGGTGAAATTTCCCGATGGTGGGGGAAGGGAGGGAATTTACTAGGTTTGCACTGGCGGGGGACCGCGAAAGACTGGGACAAGTTGTTTGAGGTTTGTAAGCCCGGGCGGGGGAGGGTTTTGTTTGGAAAGCCCTTCTCTCCCGTTCTGTAGCAGGCTGTGTTGCATTGCAGCAGTAAGCGGCTTTTCCCTTTCTCTGTAATCAATACAACAGTTTCTTCTTTCAGCCCCAAAGGAAAGAATTGGATGGACCGTCGTGAAATGCTTTTTTTTCTTTTTGATTGATAGGATGAAACATATGGTGTGTTATTTCTCGGTTTTTTGTTTCTCCGATTGTGTAGGAGAATAAACCATGATGCGGTGTGTCATTCATTGGAGGGGACCCCCCCCCCCCCCAAGCCTTTTCTAAGCTTGTTTTGTGTCCATAACCTCCTGGTTCTGGTTCTGGATTGGTGCAAGACTTAGTGAGATCGGGGCCTTCGTAGACCGGAGGCTGATCCATTTTGCGTTATCATCCTTAAAGGCCTTCCTTTTAGGTTAAACTATTGTGGACGAAGTAAACTACTCCATGTCTTTCTCCGGAGATAGTCTCTCAGTTCATTTGGATTTGAAGCTCCTTTGTGTTAAAAGATTAATGGCCAGCCCTTGCCAAGACCTTTATAATGTAATGCCATAAGATTTGAATGATACAATTACGAATTCCTTCTTTTTGGCATGAAAATGTTATGTCATTGGAATTTTTTCCCCTCATTTATAAGTAGGTTCCGCTTTAAACTTTAGTTTTTATATCCCTCCCACCCCCCACCCCAAATCAGGGTTGAACACAGTCCCGGGTCACTTTTAAGTATTTTTTTATGTTGTGTTCACTTAAGGTTACTGTGAATTTTCTCCGACTCCACGTGTCATATCTTTATTTATGTTAGTCTTAGATTTTTGCTTAATGCTAACTGACCTCTTTTCCTTAGTGATTTCACACAAGCTATTTCAAATGTTTAAAAAGTAATTATGGCATACAAACCAGAAGCCAAGATTGATCTTTGTGAAATGCAATATGAGAAACTTCAGCTAAATTTTTGTACATTTTTCTTAAACTTAGTAGCCTTGAAAATTCAGGAGCTGTTAACAAAATTCATGACTGCTCTGTCCTGTAATATTACATACTGTCGATTTCTACTTTAGTGACTTAATGCTGTATTTGTCTCGTAGAACACGTTAGTACACTGCTTTTTCAGATTTGGAATAATTTTCTTAGTATTAAAAATAAAGATTAAAGAAAGCTATCTGAAAGATTGTGAACAAAATTCATTGAAGTTTTTGATAAAACTTAAATACCGTACATTGTCTGTCTTGGGTAAATTATGTCTGGACTTACAAGTTCTAGTTTCCAGTAAAATGTAACTTGTTTTTTAAGTTGTTTTCTTACTATACTTCTTAGTAGTAATAGAGCTAGAGAGATCACACTGCAGTATTTCCAGTAGCATAGGCATAGAACATCCTTCCAGGTCTAAGATGTTTGAGCAGTCTACAGTAATTCTTTGTAGGCTGATTTTGAATAATTTAAGAGGAGAAAAGAGGATCAGCTAGTTTTTCACTTTGAATGCTTTGTTCGGTAGGTGGTGTGCTCAGCTTGGGCAGGAGCAGTTAACTACTTAGGTAGCTGTGAGGGTAGGATGGCTTGGTATGAGGTAACCTCCAGTGCTGGGAGCGGTTGTTGGGATACTTTGGTGCTTAAGAAAGGACTTCTAGTATTTGGTTAATCACAGATGCTGTTAGGACTTCTAATGGGATCTTTTTTTAAAGTTCTGTGAAAGATAGTTTTGGTGTTTCAAGGACCATCCAGAAATAGGAATATTGAGTAGGAATTTCTATTTAAGTTGGTCAGAATTCGGAAGAAATAAGTATCTTACAGTATTGAGTATTTGTGGTAAGATCTCTCAGATGATTTAATTTTAGGAACAGCATGTTATTGTCACATAGTGTAGTAATCTTATACAGAAGGGAACTAAATGCTTAACATTCCTGAAAGTCATAAGACATGCTCCACATTTAAATGCTGTGTATAGAGTTATGAAATTTTGATTAGAGGTGGACAGCAAAAAACATGGTTTAGTATTTACACAGGACAGTGGAAGAGTTGAGGGGAAAAAAGCCACAGACCCAAAATACCAGGCTGGCATTTGTAGTAGCCTGTTGAGTTTTTGGTTCTGTTCTTCCAGTTGTGTGATGCTTCAGAAGCATATTCCTTGTGATCCGAAAGTGTGTGTTTGGGATTGCAATTTTAAACACTAGCTGATCACTCAAATTTTACCTTACCTTTTTTAACAGAAAGAAGAGTCTGTTAGACTTAAAATACTTAGTTCATTATAGTCTGATCTCTCAGGAGAGCCTAGAAAAGTTTTGATTGATATTTTTGAGCCATATTGTATGGCCCAGTCTACTGTAACACTAGATGCTCTGACTTTCTCATGTAAAAAGGCATAATGGGGTTGTGAGGATTGACCAAAGCTATTTACTGCTTACTGAATGGCCTTTAAGCGTGTAATTTCTCTGTCTCTGTCTGCCCCCCCACACTTACATCTGTACAAATCAGTGGTAAATATCAGTATGTATATATGTATATAACTGTATATAGTTTGTTTGCTTTTTGTGACAGGGTCTCAGGTATTGTGTTGTCCTCAGAGGCAAATCTATAACTGAGGATGACTTTAATTCTGATTTTTTTTTCCCCACCTGTAACACCAGAATGCTGGTGACATGCACAGCTTCATGCTGTACTGGGGATTCTACGCAGGGCTTGCTACATAGTAGACAAGCATTCTGCTAACTGAATGTGCCTGTGCCCCTCAGTATGTAGAGAGGTAATTCTTGACTGAGTTGTGAGGATCAAATAATAGATGCTTTGTGAGCTTCTTTTGTTTTGAGATTAAAAACTTACTTATTTTAGACTAGTTGCACAAAATTTTCAGGCGGTTTGCTTTACCATTGACCTTATTTAAGGTTGCCAAATAGGTTACATTTTGCTAATGGAATTCAGTAGGTAGTGACTAATAGGCAGATAGATAAGGGCATTGATACATTTCTGGGATTGATGAGGAAGACTGCCATATATTCATTAGTAATGTTTGCTTGAGATATAGGTTCAGAGAGTGGTCAGTTACAGGAATACTACTAATCAAACTGCTTTATGCCCAGCCATATTGATTAAGTGAGGAAACGGATTTTTTTTTCAGCTTTCTTCCTGTGTTTATGTTTGGTTTTTGAAACTTTTTATGGTTTTGCTGCTTTAAGTTATAGTAACGATAAATTTAATACACACTTGAGAGAAGTGCAATCAAGGGACAGAAAATTCGGGTTATCTGAACTGCCTTGCTAATTGAGCATATTGGTAAAAAGATAATCCTATTAATTCACAGGATTATAGTGCCAAGTTGTATATCTGTGAGAGGATGAAAATAGTCATCTCTACTCCCATGGGTCTCCATTTGTGCTTGCAGCTGTTGAATATGTGACTCTTCCACAGATACTTATTTTAGAAGTAGGAGCCTCTGATCTTCAGTATTTTTGAATATCAATATTATAGGTATTAAGTGAATAAGCCTTGCATATGAGTGTGGATAAAATTTATTAAACTTTATATTGTATTCGGGGTTTTGGGTATCTTATTAATCCATTTGGAATAAGCTAAATAATTAGTCAGGTACCATTTGGCCAGTAAAGAGGAAATTACATTAATCACTTTAATATTTTATCCTACATACAACTTTAGTTTAAGAGATTATTGCATAACTTTCTTTATTGGGAGAGTAAGGAGTATCAGTTTTATGTAGTTGGAGCTAGTAAAAAGATACTCAAACCCTTGTTTCCTTTCTCCTCCTTCTACACCTTCTTTGAAATTAATGGGTAGAATTGAGGGGATGTAAAACTCCTAAGAGGTGATCTGAGTTGAGGAATCATAGGAGATGTCTCTCCAAATATAGGTTTGAGAATTTTGCTTTATGGAGAAACACAAAGAGCCAAGAGTCTTCTTCCTTGTGATACCTTCTGAGAAGTAGTCCCTAAATTGTCTTCCCCCCGCTTTGGTTCTAAAGGATTTGATACTCTTTTTCCCAAGTCATACCATTAATTAGCCCAGTGTTCTCCATTTTTATATTTGTGTTACCAGTAAAATACGTGGCACATACTGTCTATATCCAAATGGGTTTGACGTTGTCTGGTATTTTAGAATCTTACGTACTAACAGTAATAGTCACAGTTTTAGAGTGCCTTGTAACATTCTAGAACTGTACTGGGTACGGCTCTGGTAGGATATGGTGTGGTATTTGCAGATAGAAAGTACTAATAAAATTACTTAAACAAAAACCAGCACCACCAGCATCACTGCTACAAGATGGATATAGAACTGGTTTCTTACTTATTACCAAAGGTCAGAAGTAGCCAGAGCCTCAGATTCAGGTTTGTTTACCCCCAGAGTTCATTGGACTGTATTACCTTGACTTTATTGTAAAATTCTAAATTAACAGATAGAAGAATGTTCTGTTTTTTAGTGTCTGACCAGAGACTGAAACAGATTTGAGCAACAGACATGTATGTATCTCTCTTGGTTTAACTTGTGCCTGCAGAACTGCTTTTTTTTTTTTTTCTTCAGTGCTTGAGATTTCAGTTTTATTTTCTCAAAGCTGGAGAGTGGAAGCTTAGTAGGGTTAGGAGGGATGTTTTTCCCAGAGACATCAGTTTCATTGAGTTGTTCTCACTTAACTGTACCTGCCTCCTAAAAGCCCTATCCCCAAATGTAGTTACATTCTGGCTTAGGACATCAACAATTGAGAGGACCCAATTCAGTC